TTGTGGGGATTGGGTAGCTAGGTTTTAGGAGGTATTTAAGCTTCTTTTCACTGCAATTTAACCAGCTCCTTTTAGAACTTCTTTTCGGCTTTGGGAGCAATTGCTAGGGTTTTGGATTTTCGCTACTTTCAGGTGTTTTCATTCTTAATCATTCGAATGACATTTTCTTGGATTTCAATTATGATTATGTGTAACTAATTCCCTTTTGCTAGGGTGAAGCCTTGAGCCTTAGCACGAATATGTGATTTTTATTTAATTGCTTATGATTGAATGCATGCATGTTTTGAATTGTTAATCACTGTTTTAAACTATCTAATTGTCTTAATGCCTGATCACCATTAAGACCTTTAGAAAAGTAATTAGATGCAATTTTGGTAGGAAGGTTCCCTGAAATTAATGCTAGCTTCTTGTGATTAATAATTGTAATTTCACTTAAGATGAACACCACGTCTTAAGGGTTGCATGGTTTTTCAAAGGGTTTTCACAAAACTTAATGAGTCTTTCATGTTCAGATTTGATCCGAACGTCCGGACGGGTTGCATGTTAGATATACGTTCTATGTTGGAGGTTCCAAGTAGAATATAAATTAGAAAAACCTAACCTTCAAAGTGGCATGTGCAAATCATAAGTAATTGGTAAAAATTCATAGGATTGCTAGGTGATGGTGTAAAAATTCATAGCTTTTATAAATTGAAATTCAAAACTTCTTCCTTCAATCGTATTTGTTTTTGTTTAATGTTTGTTTTTAGAATCAACCAACTTCATATTCATCTTTCTCTACTTTTAATTTTAGGTAGTTAATTAGAAATTGTTTTCACATAAATTGCTAAATAGTCTGTTTACGCAGGTACTAAAAATCCTATCACCACCCAAACCCAATTTAGCATTCCAGTCATAGACCTTGAAGGCCTTGCACTTGATAGTCCGACGAAACGAAAGGAGATTGTTGCAAAAGTTGGAGAGTCATCAAAGACTTGGGGCTTTTTCCAAATTGCCAATCATGGAATTCCTATTAGTGTTCTGGAGGAGATAAAGGATGGGGTGCGTGGTTTTTTTGAGCAAGACACTGAGGTGAAGAAAAAGGTTTACACTCGTGATTACTTCAGACCTGTGATCTATAATAGCAACTTTGATCTATATAAAGCACCGGCGACTAACTGGAGGGATACTTTTATCTGTTACATGGCTCCTTACGCAAAGAAGCCAGAAGACTTGCCTGAAGTATGCAGGTATATGTCACAACAAAGCTTATATAATTCTCTGCTAGAATTTGTAAGTTTATTTGATGATATTAATTAGCTTGACAGCTTCATATGTGTTTAAACTTTGTAGAGACATTCTTATTGAGTACTCCAAGCAAATAATGAGGTTGGGGAAGTTGTTGTTGGAGTTGTTGTCGGAGGCTCTTGGGCTGACACCAAGTCACTTGAATGACATAGATTGTAGTGAGGGCCTTGTGCTTCTGTGCCATTACTATCCTGCTTGTCCACAGCCAGAATTAACTTTGGGCACAAGCAAACATGCTGACAGTGACTTCCTCACAGTCCTTCTGCAAGATCATATTGGTGGCCTCCAAGTTCTTCACAAGAACAAGTGGATTGATGTGCCCCCAATGCCTGGGGCATTAGTGGTTAACGTTGGAGATCTTTTACAGGCAAGTAGAACAATTATTTTCATCATCTTAACAAAGTTGAAACTACAGTAGCTATAGTAACAATTATTGTAAATCACAAAAATCATTTGTTACTTTTGGCTTATTTCACCATCTAGTGATTAAAATTGAAGAAATTTTTTGGTGGTGCATATAGTATTATTGTCAGAGAATATGTGTCGAATGCTTCTATTTAGTTTCCTACCTTGGGTTTTTTTTTTAAAGATGATGAACTCATTTCGGGTTGCAGCTTATATCAAATGAAAGATTCAAGAGCGTAGAGCACAGGGTACTGGCAAACCGTGTAGGTCCAAGAGTATCTGTTGCGAGCTTCTTCACCACAGGAATGTTACCATTGAAAAAACTCTATGGACCCATCAAGGAGCTATTATCAGAGGACAATCCTCCAAAGTACAGGGAGACAACTGTGAAGGACTATAATGCCCACGTCAATATCAAAGGCCTTGATGGAACCTCTGCCTTGAATCATTTCAAGCTCTGAACTTGGACACAGAGGAGGAGCACAATGAACAAATGATCTCTACTAAATAACTTGAATGCATGATACTGTAAGGTTATTGTTTGTACATGCATAATGCAAGTATAATCTGTTGCGGAATAAGATGGCTTCTCAGATTTTTATGATATTCTCTTGTAAAATCTTGTTTGCCAACAAAAGCAGAGTTTCAACCATAACCAGATTTAATACAACGTAAGCCAATCTTAGAAAACCTGCAAGTTCACTGAGTTGTTCATTTTTCAGATGAAGCTACACGTTCTTCCATCTCTTGGTTTACAACTCTCTGCTTTTTTTTTACCAGCTATCCGTCTGTACAATCTCTCTGTTTTCTCTGTTTCCAGTGGGAGAAGGAAAAAAAGAGACACCCAAGATCAATTCAATCTACACTTTCCGAATTAATGCAACTTAAAAAAAAAAAAAAAAAGAGAGCACACACGCAAGATAAAAGAGAGCAGATAAACAAGGAAGAAATATCTGTGAAATCAATCTCAAGCTAGAAAATCCAGAAATTTGATATGGGAGAAAACTTGTTCCCTCTAGCTTCTTGAGCACACTTTCTCTACTGTCTTAGAATGCTAAATATGACAAGTAAAGACTGATTATACCACTAAGCCAAAACTAGGAAAGCCAAGTGAGTATGTGGCTTCATCCTTACAAAATAAAGCAGAATTAATACAACTAAAATTAAGACAAGTTTCTGTCCAAAATGTTTCAAGACCTTTTTGACAGAAACTTATCTACACTATTACAACAAGGACATTAACATAATTTCAACAAAAGCATTATCCTTTGATATCAGCTGCCTTGGGACCACTTCTTATCCTTAGAGTTGGATCCATCTTCTTATCATCTTAAAGGCTACGCAATCTTCTGCTTTTTCTCTATATTCTGTTTGATCCTCAACCACCTTTTATGATCCTAAACCAAATTAAGAAAATGTTTGCAGAAGACGATCATGAACTCGAGGCAAACAGTGACCGCATGAGTGAGTTAAAAGCATTTGATGCTGCAAAAGCTGGTGTCAAGGGACTGCTCGATACAGGTCTCACAAAAATCCCAAGTATTTTCTACTCTTCATCACGACCAAGCTTCGACGAAAAGAAGCTGCAAAGTGATGATGTCCAGTTCAGTGTTCCAATCATTGATCTCAGAGGCATCCAAAACGACGCAGTTTCACATGCCCGTGTCGTAGAGAAAGTTCGACATGCAAGTGAGAAATGGGGTTTCTTTCAGGTGGTGAATCATGGAGTTCCTGTTGATATTTTGGATCAGATGATCGATGGCATACGCAGATTCCATGAGCAGGACAGTGAGGTTAAAAAAGAGTTCTATTCGAGGGACTTTGGGAAGAAGGTGTATTATATGTCCAACTATCATTTGTACCAATCTTCTGAAGCTAACTGGAGGGATACGTTTGTGTGTTATGTGGCTCCTGATCCACCCAAACAAGAAGAATTGCCATCCGTGTGCAGGTAAGCATGGCACTAGTTTAAGAAGACCTTTACTTTTTCCATATCTGCTTTAATTGATCATCATGCGTCTAAATAGAACATGCTACAAATTTAACTCTCATATAATATGAGGGGTGATCTCTTGGGGTATGATCTCTTGGATATGAGGGATGTTCATTATTCTATCTATTTAGTGGAAAACTCATGAATTTTTCCACACGGGCGGGAAAATACAACTTCTTGTCTACCTTGGTCTTCTTAGGCATTTCATCGAGCATATTGCCCACAATATTGAGATCATGTTTACTTATTAGAAATGAAGTTATGAATCAAGAAAGTTATGAATATGGGAGAATGTAGCATGACCACAGTTTTCTCATAAAATAAAAAAATCATACAAAATTTTACCTGCAGGGTTAATTATGTGCATTTGTAGTCTTTTACAAAGGCATGCTTTCATAAGTTGATAAATGAAATTCATGAGCGCTCTGATGACTTGGGGATGCAGAGAATTAGTGAATGAGTACTCAAAGCAAGTGATGGATTTGGGGTCTACTTTGTTTGAGCTGCTTTCCGAGGCTCTTGGGCTTAACCCAAACCAACTTGAGGACATGAATTGCGGTGAGGCGCTTCTTCATCTCGGCCACTACTACCCAGCATGCCCTGAACTAGAATTGACTATGGGCACTAGCAAGCACACTGATGGCTCCTTCATCACCATACTTTTACAAGACCAAGTGGGCGGTCTCCAAGTGTTACATGAGAATCAATGGGTTAATGTTCCTCCCAAGCAAGGATCTCTAGTTGTCAACATTGGAGACCTTATGCAGGTATGTTTTTTTCAAATATATTTTTATACAACTTACAAGCGGTATTGGAGAGGAAGAAATCAAGCCTAAGACCTCAAAGTGCAGGAGTAAATACTCTTAACTACTTGAACTACACTAAACGTCTTTTAACAAACTTAAAATCTTCTGTTGCTTTTGTGCAGCTAATCACAAATGACAAGTTTATTAGCGTGGATCATAGAGTTATAGTAAAGAATGCAGGTCCAAGGGTTTCTGTGGCAAGTTTTTTCAGGCCATACGTTCTGACAGGGAATTCAAAAGTTTACGGACCAATCAAGGAATTGCTATCAGAAGATGTTCCCCAAATTTACCGAGAAACTGATGTTGGAGATTATATGAAGCATTACCTCTCAGGAGGTCTAAAAGGGACCTCCGCATTAGAACATTTCAAGTTGTGAAGTTGATGTTATGGAGTTGCTAACTATTAAGTCATATTTGTCACTAAAACTGTGACTGTTCACTTTTTATTATTATTTATTTTAATTTTTTTATAATTTAATAGTCGCATCAATTACATTAATAAAAGCGCATTACAATCACATTTCAAGAACTATTGTTCACTTGATAAATAAACTTTTTTAATTGAAATAATGTAACATAATATATATTTTGGTCGTGTAAAATAATATAATATGACCATATTAGATGGGCCGAACTAGATGAGTCTTTTTCAATTAAAATAGATTATAGTCATGTATGTTGTTTGATGAGTCTAAAATGCACTTCGGACTGGTTGAGACTATTCCGAATACTAATCCATCAGACGATGGTTTTGTAAACCCAAGTGGAATCATGGGTTTCGAAGACACGCCCAAAAACCCAAATTTGCCCAACACAGAAATTTCACTTAATCTTTGCACCAATCTCACCAGAGCCTTCTATCAAAGGCAGAGGCAATAAAGGCCCTTAATCACAACGTCAACCTAATCAAACCCATCAGAGACACTTTCTTCGCGACGAAATTTCACAAGCTTGAAGCTTCTATGAGAAAAAGTGAAGATGGGTTCCCTCATTTAATCTGAAGGAAAAGTCATAAAGTTTGAGTAGTGGCATGTAGTAAAAAATGGCTGCTGGCACAGTGGCACCTTCTAATTGAATTGATGGTCAAGTTACTGGTCACTGGCTGAAATTGCAGTTGCCACATGTTTTTTATAAGATTGTTTGAAAATATATTGCTGGGGAAAAGATTTCTTGGTACCAGGCTGGTTTTGTTTGGTCGATATTATTATTATAACCAATAATTATTCTAATACGTGTATTTATCTCATGCATATCGTCTAAACAATTTGCAGAAGTCGGCTCTTTCATTTAGTCCCTCAATCAGAAAAGGTTTTATTGGATAGGGCTATTTTTTTTTATGCTTGGAGTGTTCAAATTCGTGATCATCATGGCTGACATTTCAAATTACTCTATTTTTAGGACATTCTTCTTACCATCATTATGCCAGGAAGAACGAGACTAGGGATGACATAAATTCTTGTCAAGTTTTCGACCCTAATATATATATACATATATATATATATTTTCTCTGCAATTTTCTATTCTACAAGTTTGAAGATATAGAGAATGAAGAATAACTAAACAAAATATATAAAAGGAGCTCGAGGACATCTGGATTTGACCAACAAGAGTAATGCTACACCAAGTGATATATAAATGTGGTAAAAGTAGCATTATTCTTTTAATTTGAAATTTATAAATTTAAAAAGAAAAGTAGTGGAGGCCGAGTGGCTCCGCCATTGTCTGTGAGACACATGCATTGTTTGAATGTCTTCGAAAGTTTTTCCCTTCTTTATTTTATTTATTTTATCATCTTTCATGATTCAGGTATGTTTATTTCCATGAAATATGACAAAAGGTACAGCCCCCAGATTTCCGACGCCAAAGGAAGAGTTTGGTCCGCACACGATAGGAGGTTCCTTTTGATAACATTTCACGGAAAAGGAAAGCAGCAGAATTCTTGTCAAGACATAAATGGTAAAATGTCAATTGTCCTATACAAGAAGAGTCAACATGCTGCTTATACGCTTTGGCTTGCCCTTGTTGTTATGAGTCGACATGTTGGATAGAGAAAGTTTCTGGCGTCTTGAGAGTTTGGGTATGCTTTTTTGTGTGTCTCCTTGAGGGTTTTGAACATAAAATTACCGGTATGCAAATAAATACTATTTTCAACTAAGCTAGACCCGTTAACGCTTTTGTGTTTGTTCTCTATTACATTATGCTTGTGCATTCATATGTTTTGGGGATCGTTACATTCCTACGCGTATGACATGAGTTTTCCTGAAGCAATTTCACGTTAAGGTGGATGTTTCACGCAACCATTCAAGTTTCTGTAAGTACGACCAGGACTGAACACAATAATCTTCCTGTATATTAAATATTATATACTCGATACTACTTAGGCAGTTATTTTCTGAATTATGAATTGATGAACAGTTGCATTCTAGATCTTCAACCATTTTACTATAAAAATATAAATAATTGAAGTAAATGAGTGTGGGCGCGCGATGCATGTTATCCGGCTTACGTTTTTTTTTTTTTTTTTTTTCATTCTTTGTTTTGATGTTGACTAGAACCGGGTGATCAAATAATGTTATGTGTTTCAAATTCTTTAAGTATCCCTATTACTTTTTTATTGTCTAATTTGTTGTGCTGGCTTTGTTTAACAGATTATTTTTTGCAA